TCTGGGTTCTAAGATGGTTCCACAACTCCGTGGCCTTCCATACGAAGCACGTCTTCGAAGCGTAGAACTGTTTTCTCTGGAGTATCGTTGACGCCGAGGGATCTAATTTTTCTGTTCCGCTTGGTTGTGCTCAAACACTACCCAGAGTTGGAATGGATAATCCTTCGAAATCACGATGTTCGCACCCGAGGCCACTCATGTCGCCTAGTCCAGCAACGCTCAGATCATCTGCCTCAGAAATACCGGTTTTACCGCCGGGTCATCAAAGACTGGAACTCGCTGAGTGAGGATATTGTCCAAGCAAAGTCGGTGCCCGGTTTTGAAAAACTCCTTGATGCTGTTTTTCTTATGGCTGCGGATGACAATATCTATTCAACCGGTCAGCGGTTCCCAGTTCCTTTCGAGGATCGCCGTCCAGTTTGACTTTTGTTTATTGTCTTGAACTATTTTTGAAGAGACTCCTTCGGGCCTTTTGTCTTGAATATATTGAAATTGAACTATGAGTTTCATTCGAGATTTCGTGTCTAATTGTAAAATCTGAGTATTTTTCATAAGAAAAACAACAGAAATCAGAGGGGATTAAAAGTTAAAAGCAATCGGAAGAGGCAAAATAAGAGCACTTAGCCAGATACTTATTCCATTTAGCTGATTAGATCGTACGTCCAAAAGGTGAGTGAAGTGATGAGATTGAAAAACATTTGGTGTACGTAGCATAAAGCAAGCAAATAGGTGTTGCTCATGGATAGAACACTTCCGAAATATTTATATGATGAACAAGTTCAGACTAAAATGACTACGCATTACATATAAGAGGCACATGGAACGGCCTTGTGGAGCCTTGAAGCTTCGCATCGCTAGATTTTGAAAACGCCATGGAAGCTGAAAGAGCTGATTCCTTCCTGGAAAATGTCTTCACGAATTGTCTCAACGAGACCAATTAGCTGTTACAAAGACCCCAAATACACAGAATAGTTGACAAGCGTAACATACGGGTTTTTTTCAAGTTTTACTAAAACGCACATAAAAATCGAGATAGAGTTGATTTCTTATCACAATTTTGATGGAATGAGACCTGCATGATTACTGGGGGGTTCAGTTTATGCTCGTCGGGGAAACAAAACGCACCCTCCCACGCTAGTGAAAACGGTGAAGGCGGTAACCGTAAGGCTCGGGTACCGAAAGTTTATAAAAAGCTCTTTGCTTACAGAATGTATTGATATTGAACACGCTATATACATCAGTTATTGGGCAAGAAATTGTCCACTTTATGACGACATTATGCCAGCGAGTGTGAATGGATTTCGAGTAAATTTGACCTCAATGAAAGTGTCCATTGGGTCTTACATATGCAATGGATTATTTACATTATTATTACGAT